TTCAATTAATCTTTCGTGGGCGAAACAGAGGATATCTCGATTGGAGAGAAAACGGAGAAATCCCATATGACCCAATATATCTGACAAGTCGCACTATATGTCAACCCAAGATGCATCTTCCTCTCCAGCATTTCGAAAAGGTACTTTTGGAACACCAATAGGCATTAAATGAAAGAAAAAAGAACTAAGTAATATATTTTACTTTGATGTGGAAACGTAACAAAGGCTTTATTATCTTTATAATATTGTACTTTATCCTAATCATATTTTATTCATAAATTAGAAAATTTTATAAAGAAAGTCAGAAAAAATAAGGGAAAATTCTTACGAATAGTGTCCTCTAATGATGAACAAGTATGGGTACATTCGCTCATATAAAATGGCATTAACCTCCCCATTGCGTATTGGTATCAAATAAGTCGTATCTTGCTCAGACCAATAAATAGAGCTGAGGTTATAGTTAAAGCCGTTAGTAGAAAACCGAAATAACTAGTTATGGTAGGCATGAAGGAGCTAAATGAAATATGTTCTTTTTATACATATGTTTATAAAAAAGCACTTACCTGAATTTCCTTTTTTGCAAAATAATTGGCTCAAAATGACACTAATTGGTTCATATTTAGTATGATCAGACTTAATGGGTATAATTGGCCTATTTCTCCTTAAGAAGTCCAATTGGGTCAACACGACTCAAAGTATGTCACAATTAGTCTTTTTAGACCCAAATGGGTTTAATGGGCCCAGTTATCCATAACTAGTGTACTGAAAGGGGAAGAGTTTCCCCAGGCAATTTTATAAAGACAGTAAAAAGCGTCACCGATACAAAGCAATCAACAAGAAAAACTACGGCAACTTTGACTCACAAACCAAGTCATAAGGAGCCAAAAATGACAAAGGGAATTACACCAACACATAAGAAAACCAAAAGCCAGAAAGCAAAGGGCAAGAAAAACCCAAAAGAGCCAAAATCGAGAAGGCACACCACCCACGAAATCACCCAACATTGGAATTTTTAAGCTTCTTCCTTGTCTTCCAAGCCATCCGATGAAGAATCTGCATCTTGATTTCCTCAATAACTTTATCCCCCGACTGATTGAAATTGTCAAAGAACTTCCTGTTCCGTTCCCTCCAAATATGATAWACCGTTGCCGAGATACCAAGTTTTTGAACCGTAGACCAAGATTTCCAAGTTTGAGTGGACCCTCTATGAAGAATATCCTCCCACTTGTTTGGACAGTTCGTTAATCCCACCTCCATTTTAATAATTTCCCAAATATTGCTTGAGTAATTGCATTCAAAGAACAACTTAATATCCGCACAACCTTTATGATACGAAAAATTTGCCTCCTCCTCAATACACTTCGATAGAAGCATCAAGAGACCCTCCATAACAACAGTAAACAGATAAGGGGAGAGAGGATCTCCTTGACGGAGGCCTCGTTTACCATGAAAAAAACCCTCCGGCTGTCCATTAACACAAATAGAATAAGAGGGTGAAGTGATCAAGGTCTTTATCCATTTAATCATATGACTGGATGAAAACCCATTCCCTTCAGCATCTCTAAAAGAAATTGCCAATCAACTGTGTCATAAGCCTTACGGATATCAATCTTAAAAGCACATTTTGGTTCCCCTTCAGAACGCTGATATCTAGCGACCAGTTCATGCGCCATTAAGATATTATCAGTGATTTGGCGCCCAGGAATGAACGCAGATTGAGCTTCGCTAACAAGAACGTCCAGCGATCCTTTCATCCGGTCAGCAATAACCTTACTAATACATTTCAACAACACATTACAACATGCTTTGCTGATTTCCATAACTAGTGTAATTGGGAGAAAATGACACTAAATGGGCCATATTTGGTTTGTTCAGACCTTAATGGTTATCATGGGTTTATTTCTCCTATTGAGTCTAATTGAGCCATAATGGTACTAAATGGTTCAAAATTAGTATAATCAGACGTTAATGTTAGTAATTGAGGAAGAATGGGTCTTAGCGGTCCTTAATTGGTCCAAATGGTGGTGGTGGATATAATGGGCATAATTCTCGTTAAAAAGTCCAATTGAGTCAAAATGACACCAACTAGGTCATAATCAGTCCCATTAGACCCTGATGGGTTTCAGAGGCCCCTTGCTTTGTAACGAGTCTAATTAGGTCAAAATGACAGTAAATGGGTAATAGTTAGTGCAACTACATGTAATATGACTAATTGATGTAGAATGAGTCT